TTCTTTCTGTGTGGAGTTTGCATGTTCTCCTCGTGCTTGTGTGGGTTTTCTCCGGGTACTCTGGTTTCCCCCATCCCCACAAAAACATAAGCAATAGGTTGCCTTCAGGCCCAGGCCTCCCTTGAAAAAGAGATTTGAGATCTCAAACGGGACTTGCCTGGTGAAAGAACGGTGAATAAATAAATTTTACTATGTTTAACTTTAAGTCAGCAAAAAGCRAAGAAATGAGGAGTAACTGATATAGACGAGCAAATATTTTCTTTCAAGTTAGGTCAAATTGAACTAGTAAGATCAAGTCCATTTTTTTAAGATACAAAGATCTGACTGTGAAGTTAACTCAGTGAAATAACTAAAGATGAAAATGATTGTGGTGACAAATAACTTGTAAGAAGAAAATACTCTGATTTGAGAGTTTCTTTGCTAAGAGGCTAATTCTTTAAAGTTTGTTCAACTCTTCTTCGCCCTGTTTGTAAATCATAAAAAAGTTTGGGAAATCCCTAAAACCTGCCATGGATGTAAAAAAAAACAAGAACAGGAGGAGGTAATGGAAAAGTCATGTTTTTGATCACTTGTAGCTGAGAGTTGTAACTAACACAGGTCATAAAACCACAGAGGGATTTTAAGTTTTGATCAAAATGGAAATAACTGTTGAAAAATTTGGCATGAAAGGCAGCAGCGACGTGTGTTTCTTCAAARAATGCTGGGATTTTCATTGGTTAGACAGAATAAAAAAACAACACAAAGTCCTAAAATGTCCTATCATGTCCACACCTGTGAAAGACTGTGTGGCCTTGTTTCCAGAGTGTGTTTGTGTGTTTTGTGAGTCTCAAAAAACCTCCTTTCTGAGTTTCCCATCAACAGCTGGTTTTGTTCCGGTTAACATCTCTTGTCACGGCGAAGAAATGATGGCAACAGTGAAAGAGGAGGAAAGAAAAACGAAGGTGGGAGGTTTGTGTGTGTGTGTGTGAGGGAGAGAGGGTCACCTCCGTTCGTGAAAGAGAAGAGCTTATGTGGGATGAACACATTCGTTTATTCATTCGGCTCGTCTATTTTCAGCCCAGTGGGTTTATGGTTATTGGAAAGGCGTTGCCGTCTCGCTCCTTCCCAGAAGGAGTCAATATTTCTCCCTCTCCTTCATTTCTCCCTCTCTGGCTCTTTTTTTTTCGCCTCTAATTCAATATTTTCTCCAAAACACCACTCGCTTCCCTCTGCGCTGCAGGCGAGGAATGCTGGAAGGCATCTGGGAGAAACAAAACACTGGGGGGGRAAAAAAATGAGGCTGCAGAAAAATGGGGGGCCCCAACGGTGACCCCCACACACAAAACCTCCAGCTCGGGACGTCTGTCTTATCCACGGCTTCCCGGCCTTGATGCATCTTTATCTCTCCCTCTTCACAGCTCTTGTGGGCCTCCCGAGACCAACTGTGGCCAATTTACCATGCCGATGTTTACTAATGACTTTTAATGACGACTTGTTATGGATCATAAAACCTGGCTCTCTTACTGCTGATACCAACTTTAACTACAGGACGGGGGCAGCCCTGATAACACACAGTGGGACTTTTATCGAGTGATGGAAACCGGCTCGGACAGCCAGAGGATGCGGCGGGTGGAGTGTGTGTGTGTGTGTGTGTGTGTGTGTGTGTGTGTGTGCGTTTATTAAGTGATGATTCACAACTCCTTCTAAATGAGAAAG